CTTATTGAGCATCAAAACTTATTTGTGATTATTTCAGTAGTTTAGCCGCGTTTTAAAATCCGATAAAAGTTTCGGCGCGCAATTTAAAATGACTACAAATAGATATGATATATATGCATGTATATATATATAGTATATATACATATATAATATATATATAATTGACATTAAATTATTTAAGCATCAAAGATCCAACTTCGACAGTTATGGATTTTAATTCTTATTTCTTATATATATATTAGTTGAATTTTTTCATTATACACATATAATTGAACGTATTGAATGGATATGTTAAACATAATGGATGATTCAGTTGATCAGTTTCAATTATTCAATTTTTAGTAGATGATCCTAATTTGCAATTAATAAAGTATAAGTTAAATGCAATTTATTAACTTTTTATTAATAAAACGATGAATTTCGATGAAGAATCTGCATTGCATCACCAAAAGTTGGGTCAGATAAATGGAATATCTTTCCTGTGGTGATCTTAATTAATTTGAGCAATAATCGAGCAATAATCAAAACACGATCATATGTGCAGTTTTGTGATGTAGATTATATTAGTCAGTCATATATTATATGTCACACATTCCTGCACATATTTGCATTAATAAATTCATATGAAATTAAAATTTTCTATGAGTGATGAAAACAATTTAATAATTTAGATTACATAATGTTTAGAAAAACAGAAATATTCAAGTTTTTTAAAAAGAGGTTATTTTATTTTAGCATTTTTCTCAATTGATGTAATAGCATTATATTTTAGATTTTTTAAAAATATGACTGAATTATAATAATAAATATTAAAACCCAATAATTTCCCTAATTTCAACATACTTTAATTCTCAACATTTCTTACCTGTTTTGTGACAATTTCTGGCTGTAGCAAAATTTAAAAATATTGAAGTTATTTTTCTTATATCAAGTTCCCAACCCTACACTGAGAGAAAAATGTTTTGTATTTGTAACTATAATTACATATTATTATAATTATGATTATTACTTCTATAATAATAATAACAGTAATTATGTATATGGTTGGCAACCTAAAATAACTATATATAATTATAGTTATTATAACCATAAAATAGTTAAAATTACCATAAAAATGATTCAAGTGACTATAATTTTATAATTGAATTTTGGGATAAAAAATATGGTTATCCCAAAATATAGCTATAAAATTATAGTTACTTGAATCATTTTTATGGTAATTTCAACTATTTTATGGTTATAATAACTATAATTATATATAGTTATTTTAGGTTGCCAACTATAAACATTTGTTGCTAGAACTATATACATATATAGTTACTGTTATTATTATTATAGCAGTAATAATCATAATTATAATAATATGTAATTATAGTTACAAATACCAAACATTTTTCTCTCAGTATACACAGTTGAATTTGTATTGATTACAACACACGTGTCCAACGATCTATTTAAATTTTTATATAAAAATAATACAAGATGGAATATGTTATAGAAAACAATGCAAATATTATTTTAAAAATTAACACAAATAAAACACATCGATACAGTTTAAAAGCAAATTGTAAAAGCATATTTCTCTTGAGTAAAATTAATATTTGTAATTTAAATTAACACTCCCATTTTATGTATTTATCTTAGAATTTATGTTTTAAAAATGTATTATTTTCTCGCTTATTCATAAATTGTTTTTTTAATACTAAAAAATGTTAAATATTAATATTTAATACAATATTCAAACAACACAATTCATGCTATAACACAATTATTTTATGTTAAATTAATATGTTAAAAATTGAATATGTTAACAATTCAAAACAAGTTTTAACAATAATTGTTTTAACATAAACATATAATGTCTTTTACTACAATAAAACTAAAATATTAGATTTATCTTTATTATATTATATATCTTACATTATATTATATATCTTACATTATATTATATATCTTACATTATATTATATGTCTTACATATTTTCTAATAGAATAATACAGTTTGGTTTCTCATGAATAAATTACATTTACGTATCTAATAGGAACATTATTTTCTTTCATCTCTAGTGTATCGTAATAGCTGATTAACTTGAGTAATACTCAAATAAGCATATAATTATTGTAGATGTTAATTCCAGAAGAGATATTTTATGCATAATACTTTCTAATCATGATATGAAACTGAAGTGTATGAATACATCACAGTAGAATTTTTTAAAATAAGTTATTACATTTTAAATTAATACTCTTTACGATCACAATTCAATTTTTCTCTTTTAGTAATTTAGAAAACGAAAAACGAATTTAACTTAATTCCGAGAAGAATAACTATTTTTAAATTATTAATTACAGGCCCACAAAAAAAAGTACCCTGTGCTGGGGTGGAGACCCAGCAATTCTTATGTATTTTGTGTCGCTGAATACGATTCTGGCATCAAAATAGGACTATTCAGGACAAATTTTCAATCTAGAGTGAAAAAATGGGTACTTTTTTGTGGGCCTGTGTTATTATTACTTATATATATAAATTCATTTAAATAATTAATTATGAGATTTTCATAAAGCCCTAGAAGATGTGTATTTTTTTAACGAATACTTACGTATGAAATACCTCAATATTTTCAGATGATGTTCTACGAGTAGCCAGTTTTCGTTCAGCTGTATCATTTCTCTTATGCTGGTTTTCGATAGTTCACGTAGCGTAAGCACGTTCAATTGTCCACTGGGATGAATCGCAAAAGACAGCAGACTGCCAACACCGGCAGTAGATGAACTCACTATAACTATTGACAGAAACTATACAACTAACGCAATTTCATTCAAAAGACTGATTTTTATATCGATGATTTTGTTGTAA